CTCCATTTTTGCATAGTTGTTGGATGGAGGCAAACTCAGGTGGTCAAATAACCATGACTGCAGCATGTAACTCTGCCTCTGTGCCCTCTACTGCACTGTGGCTCTTGGGATCTTTCAGCTACAATGCTCTGGGGTCTATGGCTGCAGCTATATTGTGTCTGCTCTCACCAAGCCCAGTTTTTATGACTCACAGAAACTCGTATATGTGTGTGAATTATTGGTTTTTCAATTGACAGTGAGGGAGCAAAAAATTATCTACAAAATAAAAGCTTAGCTACTTACATTATAGTCTCACACATTTTACCATGTGTTTACTGTCAGAACGTGTTGTAGTTAATATCTGAATTTCTGCCAGACTGCTGACAGACAGAATATGATCTATTTTAAGATTTTTTTTTGTTTAGTTACAACTACTAGTCTGTAAATACTGTGTGCAATAATAGAAACATGAATTTGACATAGCTATATGTTTCAAAAATGTTTATAATTTCCTTACAATTTTCATTCTCTTTGCAATTCCAATTAGAAAATGCATGATCATTGATGCCTGGAGTTGCTACAGCATATTTTAAAATACAAAAATTATAAGAAATATTTAGTTCATTGCTGTTGTTCAAATGGTGCTTTGTTGTCTAGTAACTTTAGATTTACCTTTAGTTCCTCTTCAAATCAAACAAACCTGAAATCTCTACACACACCATGACAAAGGACACCAAAGAAAATCAGAGCAAGGGAGCACAGTGGAAATCTGATAAACTTTTCCAGCTAGTTACAGGCTTATCTGTCTGTAAGGCAAACAAAAGTAAATGAAAGAGCTCTAGATTCAAACCACAGTAGAACTTTTTTTCCCCTAAGTTTCACGGTACAATTTCTTCATCCCCCAGGTTTTACACAGCATGTTTATACTTTTAAAACTTAAAAATTATCCATATACTGAAGGGGATTTAAATAGTATGCACAAGGGCTCCTCTATCCTATTTCTTGTTTGTATCTCATGGAGCCAAATTCTTTAAATGACAACATCAAAACCATTACATCCTACTGCCTTTGCAGTTTTCTTGTATTCCCCTGTCTGTTTTGGAGCATACTGTGAGATAGCTTTAGATTATGTAATGAACATCCTTAAACCAAAAAAATACCATTCAAAGGGGACCCTTTATCTTCATTGTCTCTGCCAGGGCATCTGTCATACATCCATCCCATTTAAAAACATTGAACATTATTAATTTTTATTGTTTTTAGTAGAGTTGTATATGGAAGATTCATTTTCTGCCTTGATTCCTTTAAACTTACATGTGCTAAAGGAGAATACATGTACTTTTCCAGGATGGCAAAACACAGCCATGAGAAATCTTAGTCTCTAGTCAGCCCTATTCAAGTCTTTTTTTCCCCTTCACTGAGCTTTGCATAAAGCTAACCCAAACCCACATGGATTTCTATAATATCCAAAAAGAATGACAATGACTGATGTGATGTAGGTGGAAACTGCCTGAAGAAACCTAAATTGTAACAGGAAAAAAAAATTGACATTTTAGATTTTAAATGTTACACAGTTTTTATAAAGCCTCAGTCAATTTATTTTATTTATTCTAATGAAGAGCATTACAACTGCTTTACTGCACTGAAGCAAGCATCGATCACACCATTAATCACACCTTGTGAATAGTCACAAATCAAGTTCTAACAGCAAGCACTGAATCAGGAGCAATGAAGCATAAACTCCTTCACAATTTATGATCTCTCCAATTGCATCTTTTCAACCATTAAATTGCAAGATACCATAAATTTTTATCTTCTTCACTTCAGTCACATTATTGATTCTGCCTTGTGAAATATCGAATAGCTGTAAATCTAGGCTATTGAATTAAATTTAAAGTCTTGACTTCAGAAAAGAAACCCAACACACTGCCATGGCTGTTAATTTACACTGAGGAACAAATGATAGAAACATTAAAATTTAAATGGACAACAGGGATTTCAAAGAGCCACAGTTCTGTCAATCCTAGTCCTTGTCAACCTTGAGGGTTTTTCTTTTAGCCAAATTTTAGATCACAAAGTGTAATAAAATAAAAGCTCCAGGTGGATGCAGAACAGATAATTCTTGCAAACAAGTAAATGATTAAGAGGGTAAATCAAAGCTACTGAGTAAATGTTTAGGTTTTAATAACTTCACTGAATTCAGCACAATCTACCTAATTACAAGGCTGAGGTGCTACAATACAAATAAAATTGGCATACTGTACATTTGGCATAAGTACATTTTTACTTCACTTTACCAGTGAAAAGATCAGATCCCTTAATATGCTCACAAGATTCTAGAACATCATAGGCCAGTTCTTCCAATAACAGTGCATCCATTAGAAATGAAAAGGAAGACCCACCACAGTGAAAGCCTTTATTAATTAGTGGGAATGATACATGCAGATATAAGTAGAAGCTCCCAAGGGACTGGAAGGATATAAAAGTAGAGCTGGAAAATAAGTATTGGAAGAAAACACAGGGTGTTACATAAATTTCCAGGGTAGTGGTGGAGAAGAGGGAGTTTCATGGAGTTGTTGTGGGCTGTTCCTGTGAAAGTGATGTCTAGCCAATGCCAAATGCCAGGTGCTGGCTGCTGTTGCTCTACATGCCCCAGTTTTCTGGGTGCCTGGACAAGCTCACAGTCCTCAACCAGACCCTGAGGTATTTCTCCCTTCTGCTCCAGGAAAACTGGGTTGGTCCCCTACAGGCCCATTGCCTTCAAGGTGAAGGCCTTATGCCAGCATGACCAAACTCTCTTCCACCATTTCCATCCCCAGCAAAGGAGCCCCTGCCTGACACTGAATGTGCTGCTGGGTGCCCCACTTACTATCCTCCAAGTCCCTCCTGCATGGACCACAAAGCTGTCCTCAGCACAGGCTCAGAAACACATCATCTATTACACAGTTTACAGGATTCAAAGGCTGAAATTGGTTTTCTGGTGCATGGCTTAAGTAAATCCCCACCCCTTAGAAAAAGGCCATAAAGCTATTTGCCACTGGGGAGAGCAGAAGCAGGTCTCATCTCTTTCCAAGCCTCCCACGTCACCCTAACCAGACACAGTCTTTGTTTCTGTATGGTAGAAATGGAACAAAGGATTTTTTCCCTTCCAGGAAGCCAGCAGCAGGAGGGCCCCACAGCCACCCACCATAGCTGTATGGGAGAAAGGACAAGGGGCTGGCTGGTGAAGGAAACAGAACAGAGAACATGGGCAAGGCAAGAGCTGGCAAGGCAGGTAGGCCTCTCCCCTCTCCAGGTGTGCAATGGGGAATTTCATGTCCAAGAGCAATTCCACATCAGGACCACTGCCTGGAGCAAGCTCCTTGAGCTCCCAGTGATGGCTGCCTACTCTGCTTACAGATATGCATCTATGAGGCTGGGGTGGAAAGAGGGATGGAGCAGGCAGACAAGTCTCTGGCAAACAATTCAACCCCCAGGGAAGGAGGGAATTTGGCCTTCTAGCCCAGGTTCTGTTGGCATACTCAGAAGTTGCCTTGAGATACTCAGCTGTCTTTCAAGCCCAATACTAGCTATATTCAACCATATAAATCAGCTAAAAGGGTGGTCTGAAGAATTTGTAGTAGCAGGCATTATAACTGAGGGCTGGGATCTGATCAGCATGTATTTACTTGGCAGTAATTTTCCTTTCTTTCCTCCATTAGCTTTTTCAGACTATGAGTATAGTTATCTTCCATTTTTTTCCACATAGAAAAAACTTGCCAGATACAAATTTTGTCACTGGTTTTATGATTTCATTTTAGCCCACCAACACAAGAGTCAAGAATATAATCCTTTTAAGGAGATGAAAATTAATATTTGAAAAACTCCAATTCAAAACTTAACCCTATGATTTTTTGTACAGCTTACTGGTAGCACTAAATTACTTACCCTGTATAATAGCTTGCTGTAATAGATCATACTATTTCAGGCAGAAAGGTCATCTGGCACCATACTTCACAGAAATATAACACTTCCCCCCTCCTTCCCTACCCTGAATTTAGAAGAAAAACGTTGTAAATTCCAACAAACTACAGACAGCAAAGTTGATGACTGTCCTAGGGTGACGCCTGTGTTATACTTACATCCCAAATAAATGCACTGAATTTGCAGGCTGTCATTTTTCACTAGGGATATAAGTACTCAGTGCTTGGGACTGATGTGGCCCAAACTGTGAAAGGAGTAACTGGCACCATTTCCCCAAGCCAGTAACAAACATCTCTGTACTGCATTTCACCAGAACAGCTCTTGCTCTCTAGCCCAAGGAGAAAATTACTTCAGTACTGACTGAGCCAATGCCCACCAGAATCCTTCCACATAAAGCCACATACTAATACCAAGTGTTTTGTAACTCCTTTTAGATTATTTACAATCAGATTCACAACTCATTTATGCCAAAGAAAACACTGTTCTGTGGATTCTGTATTGTGCTTGTACAATCTCCAGGCTTTACATTCCTACTGCTTTGTTGATTACTGTCACTTGGACTTCAGTGTTATGATTTTTAAACCTCCCTGAATCATGTAGCACCTACCCAAAATATGCTGCTGCTCCTCTTGCTGTATTAACAAGTTCATACCTGGAAAGGAGTATCCTCTTCCCTTTTAACATCTGGAACTTTTTCCGAAAAAATAGTAAACTTCAGGTATTAGGTCAAGGAAGTAAACATGAAGGAAACTCTTTTGCTCTCTTTTCTTTGATCAATCGGTTACAAAATTCCATGAAATAATCAATTAGCTAGAAAACAGAACAAATCTGAACACAAAAGACATGCTACTATCAATAAATATTTTTGACATAACGCTCTTTCTTCTTGTGGAAAAACAGAACTGAGGAGCTTTTCTTCATACGATGTCTGTTATATACTGTGTTTCCTGTTAACATGTTTAAACCCAGACACTTTCAGGTGCAAATGAAACACTTCACAGAACTGAGACTGGTATTAGGAGGCAACCCAGCAATGAGCAGAGACCCTTGAACAGGAAAACAGTAACAGAGACCTCACAAACATTTTATTAACAATAATACAATAAACATCCAACACTATTGTCCCATTTTTGAACTTTCACAAGTACTAAATTTTACAACACTTTCTGAGGTCAGGCAAGTTATTTTACTGGGTGATCAATGGAAAAAAGTTATGTTCCCAAACCCAGAGTTGGCATGTGTGTGCCCAAGGACTACGAGATATAGTCTTTGAATTCATAATTTTTCCAAATAGGGCTACATGCAAGCTCACTGCAGCCAAAAAGGAAGGTCTTCCATTAATTATGTAAATAAATTCATAGCCCTGATCCCCAAATATCCACTCTTACTAGGTCTGGACACCAAAATAGAATAGTGTCTCTGTGCATGCTCTCTCCATATATGATGTGAAAAGTCTTTAGTTTGATCGGTGCTGATTACACCTGTCCATTGGTAAAGACACAGCAACTAAACTTAGCTTTGGTTTGCCCCATAGGATATAGGATTTTCTTATAAAATAAATAGAGAAAAAAAATCAACTTCATATTCTTCTTTCATAAAGCAATTATGCTCCTAATTAGGCCTGCAAAAAACTGTTATAACTACTCTGTGCTCCTAAGCCAAAAGCCTGGATTCAAAGAGACTTTCAGGAATTCAAAACTTGGACCCAGATCTGAATTTGAAGCTGAAGACCATTGTACACACTTCACAAAGCTTTGGTTTTACTTCTGCTGTCTCTTTTTCACTGCTGAACTATTTGATCAAAAAAGTTTTCAGAAAACTCAGTGAGTTGCTCTGAAACTCACTACAAAGTATAATACCAGCAACTCTGCACAAAAATTTCTTATTCAAAAATGATGGCAGATTTTGTTTAATTATCAATATGTTCCAGAACCTTCTAGATTGTATTTCCTACCATTTTCCATTAACTTTTCTGATCAGGCAGGATCTGATCAGAACTGCTACCTTCCCCACTTTTAAACAGTGCCAGCAAGTTGCTAAAAACTTCCTCAGATTATACTTTTAGTTCAATGAAAATTTAATAATCAGTAATTCTCTTTGAGAGTTCACCTTTGCCCTTCCCTTTAAAATAGAAGGGGTTGGTAGAGGAAGATGGTGTAGTGCTCAACATCAGGAACAAATGGCTGCTGTCCTCAAAGTGATCCAATCTTCTAAGGAGCCAAGAACCACCTGACAACCTAAACCATGAAATTATGTGTTAGCTGTCCTTTCCTGATTATGTTAGGAGGAAGTACTTGTATATTGGAATGAACCCTCTAACATGACAGAGCTCTATAGAGACAGCTCTGTCATTTGGAAGGGTGAATGCTACAGCACCCTTTAAACGTTCTTTCTCCAGGAAACAATGGTATTTGTTTGAAGGTGTGAGAAGGAAGACTGTTAAGCAATGAAAAGGACAGATCCATTGTGCAACAAGAAAAGTACTCACTGTGCAGCAGCAGCAGGTGCCAAGGATACTACAGGGTTTCCAGTAAAGGCTGTAATTAGGCCTTTTATGGCTATGACCAGAATCAGCAGTCTGTGAAGAGCAGTGAACTGCTCTCTTCCAGCAAACATAGGATTTCCCAAAGTTTTCCTAGGTCTTTAGGAGGATTCAGCCTTGCAGAAAACTGTTTAGAGAAAGACAAATGCAGTGTGGCTGTATGCAGTCCCATCTGATAGTAATAAGCAACAAAAGCAAATAATTTTTTATTATATATATTTATTTTCTAAATAGTTACAAGATGCAAAAAAAAAGGTGTTTCTAATGTGACCTATAAATCAACACTTGGTAAGCAATAAATTAATTAGCAAAATTCTTTTGAGAAATTGAATATCTTGGCACAGCAATATTTTAGTCAGAATTAGGGAGGATCTGTAGTAGTCTGCAATACAATCCTAACAAATTAAAACATAATTTTTAAGAACTGAGGTCACTACAGAGATAGTAATATTTCAAGGAGGGAAAACAACACTGAATAAAAACTAGAAAAATGCATGAGAATAAAGACATAAGTTATACCAGCTCACATAATAACCATCTGTTGTATTTCTTGCTCATCAAAGAGTCAGTTTTCACCATCCATTTCCATCTCTATATATCCAGTCCATTTCCATCTCTGTAGCTCTTCCAGGACAGATTCTTCAGACTATGACTAACACGAAAAAAACAGAGGAAAAAAAATTTCTCTCCCAAAGGAAGTATCTTGGCTCAAATAAATTTGTGGCTTAAGCATTGGCTACAGATGGCAGCAGAATCTTAGAGAGTGAATGTATAACGGGATATGGGCAACAGAAATGAGTTGGGATTGATGTTTGCCTTAAATAAAAGACTGTATAAGCTGAGTCTGAGGTTGATGAATGGTTTCTGCATATATGACATTTTAGTGACTGCTGAATGTAGCAATTCTTGGCAGGGTGGTGATGGTGAAGTGATGCTGGGAGCCAGAGACAGTGCTGGAAAACCAGAAATTATGGGATCTGCTCAGCTCTGTAATTTTGGCTGAATATACCAGTGAGCACATGAGTCACACCCTTCACTTTGTAATTTTTGTCTGGTTGATTGATATGAAAACACCAAGGAATCTCACTGAAGATAGATCTCAAACTCAGATATTAAAAGGTTCACCATGAATGTTCATCTTCTTTATTACACAATGTTCACGGTCTTTGTTCTGGGTTGCTTTGAATATCTATTTTGTCATTCAGTAAATGTTTTTGGGCTCAAAACAAATAGCCTTTCTTCATCATGACTAAGAGAAGATGGCATTTATAGTCATTAATTAGGTAGTCTTAGACTGAATGTGTACATTACAGCAACATTTTACTTCTCAGCAGGGGTATTTCAGAGAGTGCTAAGAAAATTTAGTGCATTTTGTAATGGCTATTTGGGGAATACATATTATCTCAAAACATTTATTGATTATTGGGTTCAATTATTGCGATTCTGAATGATGTCAACATTTCAGAGTCAATTCTACTAGCTAAATACAGATGTAGTCAGTGTAAAGAAGAAAGCATGGCAAAATTAGGTGTAAAAGCCCCAGACAGCTGACTGCACAGTAAAAATTTGTAAATATGAGTATTGAACTGGATACTGAGCAAAAGATAGAAAGAACAAGCCTGCCGCAATCTGTAGCATTTGGCACGTAAGGGGAATGCCTGTTCTTCACTGTGCAAGTAAATTAATAGATAACACAATCCATTTAACGTGCAATAACTCTTATGTACAACTTAGATTTTCTCCATAGATAATAACAATTGTTCTCTGATTACCATTTCAGATAGTATTTCATTGTGTTTCCGATTTCTCTATATTTGCTTGTCTGCCTAGACCTCAACAACTGAGTAGAGATAAAGCATCATTAGTCTAGGGCAGAATTGCCAATTGAAACAAAGAATTTTGATATAGGGCATGTGGGAAGTGCAAGAAAACACTTCTACCACTGAAACATGCCCTCAAGCTAGGACCATGCCTCACACCCCCAGCACACAACAAGGCTCCAGGCTCTGTTTAGATTTAGCCACCAGTGAACTTTCCCATGTGCCAGAATTAGACTAGCAGTAGCTGCAGAACAACATCACTCTGTTATCCTCTCCTATTACAGCTGATTTAAAACTGATTCAGGAATTCTATTGCACAACTTTCAAATCAAAACTAACTAAATGAGCTTGAAATCAAACCTTAAAATACCTACTCAAGCTTCAGAACTTTTCTCTGTAACAACCTGCATAGATGTTACAATCTGCAAACCCTCAAATCTGCAGAAGGGAAGTAAGTGCACATACTTCTTGTGGTTTAACCCCAGCCAGAAGCCAAACCCCACACAGTTCTCACATGACAGCAGGACTGGGGAGACAATCAGAAGGGTGAAAGATAGAGAACTCATGGGTAGAGATACAAACAAAAGAAAGCAAAAACCATGCACACAAGCAAAGCAAAACATGGAATTAATTCACTGCTTCCCATGGGCAGGAAGATGTTCAGCCACCTCAGGTGTTCAGCCACCTCCTGGAGAGCAGGGCCCCACCCCATGTAGCACTGACTTGGGAAGACAAATGCCATCAGTCCAAATGTCCCCAGTTCCTTCTTCCTCCCACTTTATATCGTGAGCATGATGCCACATGGTCTGGAATATCCCTTTGGTCAGTTGGGGTCACCTGCCCTGGCTGTGTCTCCTCCCAGCCTCCCATGAATCCCCAACATCCTCACCACTGTGGCAGTACAAAAAGCATAAAATGCCTTGTCCCTGTGTAAACCCTGCTCAGTAATAATAAAAACATCACTATATTATCAACCCTGTGTTTAGCACAACCCCAAAACTTAATCATGTACCAGCTACTGTGACGAAAATTAACTCCACCCCAGCAGAAACCAGTACAATACTTGATTAAGAATGGGTATGATCAGATGTTTACCACACCATGACTTTTATGATTTCATACATGAAATGTGCCTGGCTACCAGAGGCTGCTGTTCTATTTAACAGCATGACAGGCAGATACCATGTTTTCCATGGCACTGTACATTTAGTTTCTTGGGAGCAAACTTGCATCAATGTATAATTAGACAGTTATATTTAAATGCACCTGCTGTGTCAATGACTCTTCTCCGTGTCTTGACATGTCAAATCTGAAATTAGCCTGTACCTTCTAGAAATGTCTTCAGTAAAGGATGAGGAGATACTTTTCCATAGGGTTAAATCCTGCAGGTGTTGCACCTGAAACAGTGAACTTGTTCTCAGATGCGCTGACCCACCTACACATGGTTTATAGCTTCCAGTGAGGCATGTATTGCATTCTTTTCTATGCCAGCTCAACTTTAATGATCACAGAAGAACAAAACAGTGCTGAGTTCCTCTTGTCAAAGCAAATAACTGCAAATCCTCCACATGCAAGCATGCTCCCTTTACCTTTCTGTTTTCTTATTCATAACAAGCATGTTTGAAAACCAGACTGGACAGTGGGAGCAGAATGGAAATTCTCTTCTTACCCATATCCATTTTGAGGAATGAGTGCAATGGTTTTAAAGTTGCACTATCAAAACAGAGGTAACATATGTGTCAGAAAGTATGATCAAATGTGTTCTTCACAAGTGTTAGGCCAGATTAGCTTCAATGCAGAAAAGCAAAACTTTAAAAATACTGCCAGCATCATCTTTGTCATAACAGCAAAAGCAGTAATGACAAATAGTGGGAATTTATATTGATGCTGACATCAACAACTCTGCTGGCAGAACCTCACCTAGCATATTTACTTACTTCATCTTTTGGTTTAACATATTTAACTACATACGGCATTCTTGAATTACATGGAGCTGAAAGTGCTGAGTGCTCCTAATTCCCACTGACTTTCCAGTGAAATGGAAAGGATGCCTAATACTTTGCAGGGTGAGAATGCAGCATTTTCCTACATCTACTTCTGTTCCTAGCTCTCCTGCAGCAGAATCTTGTAATGTGTATTCCAGTTGGCTTTTGTTTCAAGCACCATTCCCCTCAAGACCAAGTTCTTATAAATGCACTATAGCTTACAATCTGCAGGCTGGGAATTTTTGCTTCAGTCTACAGCAAGGAAGTATGTAGGCACTTTAATTTGTATACTGGTAGTTGCAATGTTATAACACAGACCCACTCAAGGCTGCACTATACTGAATTGCATTTGCAGTTATTAGGAAAGCCACCTATTAAACTCAGTGTATTTATTACCAATTAGATTTCTTAAATTTCCCAGCAGCAGCTATTTCACTAGCAATGAAACAAACACACCAAAAAGATACAATACAATTTTCCTGTCCTATCTGCTGCAAGAACTAGTCTTAAAATCAAGTACAAATGAAACCACCTGACTGCGTTGGCTCACTTTCAACACGCCAGTCTCCCTGACTTTGCCAAAGAAATGTTCCGAGTCTCACACTGAGAATGACAGAATATATGACTCCAGTGGCCCATAAAAAGAAGCAGAGAAAATGTAAAGCTGGCAGACAATGTCATCTACTGGCAACAACTGTATGACTTTATACATCTTTTCTGTTGTTTCTGATCCAAAGGTGCAGCTTCAAGACCAGAAATATTTGTAACTGCACACATGCATTGTAGTTAAAATATACTCTCATACAATTTATTTTACTAATGAAAAAAAATGGACAGCTGATTTCACACCTGACATACAGGTATGACTCAACAGAAATCAATGAAACGGCATCACTTGAGACAATAATAAATTTGACCCCGAGTTCTTGTTTCATTTTAACTTATCAAGAGAAACAGAGAGCTAAAATTAGCTTACAGTAGAAGTCACATGGTAACATGAATAAATCTCTTCCCACTAGTTCTGTGAAGATGCCTCTGGCTGTGAACCACAGCCATCTGTGGGCAATAATCCTGTCTATCTAATAAATATCAGGCAAAGTCATAAATTACGTGAGACTGCACCATACATTAGAATAAAGGAACAATGACAGATGGCAGAAAGCCCATGAGGTCACTGCAGGGATGAAGTGTGCAAAATATAGTGAAGGAACCGCTGGGAAATGTAGGTACATACAGTCTCCAAAATATTTTGCAAAGAATAAACAAACTATAAGTAAATTGCAAAATATACAGATAAAGAATCATCCTGTCTGTGCTGCTGTTTCATAGAAATGGAAATGCATCCATATCTTTACACCCATAGGACAACTATTAAGTCTTTGCCACTTAATGGGAAATGGAAAGGCATAAAGTCTGAAAGAGGTTTTGGAGAGAAATTATGCTCAGGAGTTATACAATGCTCCATGTATTTTTTCCTTCCTGGAAATTGAAAGTGGCACAAAATGAAGCAGGACAATGATGTAGATGGAAAATGCCTCTTAGGAATAGCTCTAAAATTCATCTGATTTTTGGAAGAGGTACTCTTCTGCAGTTCGCCCCAGGCCCCGCAGCCATCTAACTGTAATAAGTGAAATCAGATTCTGAAACTATTAGAAAGCCAGACAACAGCTAATTAAACTGACAAAGAACTTTAGATATTGAAATCCGGCTTTCTACCTTAGGTCTGTCTGTAGCTTTAAAATGGAAAATACCTTAGCATCTAAAATTAAACATTTCTTTTGTGGCAAGCTAGCCTGATGCTTTGATTAATCTGGTAATTTTACTTATGAACTCCAGCCTGAGCCAAATGTATTAACATAGGCAGTGTCACCTCTGGATACTGCAGATAAATATGCTGTTTAAAAATAATTCCTTTCAATCCCTGTAAGTCTTACTGAAATACTTTCATTACTTGGTGCTGACAGAACTTTACCAAAAAAGCAAGAACCCATTGTCATGGCCACCTGCATATTACTAAGTTGTTGCAATGTTCATTTGAACCAGATTCATAGTGTCCAATTGAAACTAATTTTTTTCCTCCAAAACACTACAATGGGTTATCAATGGAACAATTATGTTTTGTATATCTTGCAAAATATGCATTAATGAAAGCATTTTCATAATTCCTCAGGTTTACCGCATATCATGAGATCAAGGAAATGGGCCACCTTCTATTTTAAGTGGCTTTTCATCTGCTTCTATCCCTTTTACTTCTTCTACTTATGAAGTTCTCTCTGCCTCTAAAGATTTTCTTTGCTAGTCTTTTGTTAGAGATTTCTTTTCTCCCCCCCACTTAAGAATGCGCAGAGAAGTAGAGCTTAAAAACTTCCTTTTGAAAGTGGAAAAACCCTTTTAAATTGTGTTTGCTCAAGATTAACCTCCAATCACTTGGGTTAAAAATTCCATAGTGTTTCATATACTGATTCTCAAAGAACAATGGTACATACACCAATGGAAATTTAATCTTCATGGTGCCTTCAGGGTTTTCTATGACTATTATAATCACTACTGGCAGATTTTGTACAACTCTGACTTCCCACACATCTCCCTGAAAAACAGTCCTATTTACACTACTTATTACATTAATCCAACGACACTGGAGACTTCATAGGCACTGCCTGATGTGTAAATGCCAACATACTTCAGCATTAATGTGTTTATCCCATGGATTCATCAAGCTCTGAGTTGATATTTATAAATCTGACAGTATTTCTCACTTACAACAGTGTTAAACACAAGATATTTTTTGCAGGATTGGGGGCTCATCTACACTACGGACTTGAATAACTTCTGAAAATTCAGTGTCTGCTTTCCAACAGCACTTACAAAAGTGTTGTGAAATATCTGATAATAGAAATCTCTCAAAATCCTTCTGGAAGATGGGTATATCAACACTGAAGACTGAAGAATAAACTATTATTATTCTCCAAAAAAGAAATAATACATGAGAGTTTTATCAGCCTTTAAACAGTAAACAAAATGCACTGGAACATTCAAGCCAATTTCACTGGTTGGGAGAGTAATCACCACCCAGAAAATTAGGACAACATTTTCTGACTGAAACACAAATTAACTGCACCACATTACAGAACAGAGCAATTACACTTTAGATCGCACTTTAAAAAATCTGAGACATTCATTAAAGGACAGGTGATGGTTTAAGGCAGTTCCAAATCTCCTCCTAGGGCACAGGGATCACGTGGTATTTTTAAGTCATCTGGAGACAGTAAAGAGAAATGTCGTATCCATCTGCCCCCTATTCACACCAGCCAGCAGGCAGAAGCCAGTCCAAAGTACACACAGATATATATTAAAAGACATGGTCATGGCTGCTGCTGTGTCCTCCTACTTCTGAGGGAAAAAAGGAGGCAAAAATTTTCCAAGCAAAGCTTTGGAAACTCCCAGAGTTGAGACTTTTACATTGAACAATGCATTAAGAATATCTGGGAGGGAAAATCCTGTGCTGGCAGATAGGAGGACTGGATGATCTACAATGGTCTGTTCCATTTTTAAATTCTATCATCAGATTTGTCCTCAAGTACAAACCCTCTAGGAGTTTCTTGGGGGCGGTGCATCCCTCCACAACCCCTACTGCGGGCTCTGGCTTAAAAGCCACAATAGAGTCCTTAGAATCTAACAACAAGAGCTATTCTAGGCGATGGTTAGGAAAATGGGATTTAAAGGAAGTTTCTACTATTGTGCAAAATTAGGGCAAAAAATCTCCTTTCAGATAAGCAACAAAGTATATCAATTCCAACAGTTTGCTCTCCTGCTGTTGTATCCATCATAAAGAAAGAAGTCTTTCTGTGGTGAATAAAGGTGATCGTCTAATCAATTAAGATTTCATAGAAAATACGGAACAATTCATCTGTCTGCCCCACCCTCTTCCCAGGTTGAAACAGGACCTTTCCACTTTACTCTGCATGTCACTTTTGTTAAAATGACAGGCACCTCACAGAAAACACCAAACATACATGTAGAGAGAGAAGAATTCCCATTTTGAGATCCACCATACAAGTGAAGGTTTTTGAGCTATGAATTTGATTGCTCTGTATTGGACAATTGCTTATATAGCATGATTCTTGTATGTCTGGTTATTCATGTCTTACAATCTGATCATGATAACACTTATTTTGATTACACCAATATTATTAAAGGCATTTCTGAAACTTATGTAAAGTGTACACTGCACAGAAGTAATAGTAATACAGAAGTAATAGTAATTATTCACTGACCTCACTATTGTCCATAATAGTTCACAGATTCAGTTGAATACAGTCATTATCTCCACCAAGCACAATCTATTTTGGGCTGTCGTGGACTGTGGCAAACTTGGGTTTTTGCAATTGTTGAAAACAAGTTTTTTTGCACTATGTGGAAAACTTTCAGCTGAATTTTGGAAGTTGATTTCCTTTAGCCATAGCTATGTAATATGTTAGTCATTCATTTATCCTATTTTACCTGAAGATATCTTAGAGACTTCCAACTCCTCCACTGAAGGATGAAGAAACACCAAATGTTCACAGTATTCAGAGTCTTAAGGCTAATGTTGCTTCACAGTGGCATTAACTTCAAGTCGTTGTAGCTCTTATGTTGCAGCTTTAGCCTCTAATGACAAGGACAATTTCAGAGTATAGCTACATTTTCTCTTTATCTGGCTATAAATTGGAAATAAGTTCCTGACTTCTGATCATTTCATAAGCAGAAAATATAAGTAGAAAAAGAAACATTAAAAATTTAAAAGGTTAGCACTGAACTTGCAACACCTGATATATATTCTAATAGAATTTCTCTTTTGCTGGTATTGGTTTAAAAGTGTTTAGCTTAAGAATCAAAGGAGAAAAAATAAGGAAAATTATAAATTAAACAAAGTATGGACTACTGCCTATATGAAATGTAGAGAAAATGCATAGGAACAAAGAAGGAAAATACATCCCCTAAAAATAAATTATAAGACTTTAAAATATAGATAACATTAAAGTATTATATATAACACATTCTACAAAAGAACCACCCAAATCCAACAACAACAACCAAAAACCCAACCAAAAGTATTTGCAAAATGTACCAATTTTACTCACCTTACCTGGGGTTCATACTGTGATTCATAGAATCATAGTTCTACTCATTATACTGAATATGCTTTTGAAGTATTGAACTTGAACACACATTTTGTTTTACAAAAATATTTCCCTTTAAAAGCCCAAGCAAGCAAAGCAGGTGTTTATGGAGTGTATTTGAAAATATAATTTCTTTTACCTGGCTTTTCCCCATTTCAGCATTTTGGGCATATGGTTTGACTCTTGGGGAAGGTCCTGTGCAGGACCAGGAGTTGAACTCAGTGATTCTTGTGGGTCTCTTTCAACTCAATGCATTCTGTGATTCTGTTATAGTGTCACAGTTGCTTCTAGATGTAAGAAATTAGAGTAAGAAGATTTTAAAATTAAAGATAACAGATAACCTGACACAGGCATATATTTTACAAACATCCCTGTAGCACTAAAAAAGCTGTAAGAAATCTCCAGATATATATTAAGAATTTCCCACCCCAAATAACTATTCTGGAATATGTATTTAAGAGAAGGAGAAGGAATAAGAAGACAAATAAGAATTATCTTCTTGGGAAATGCTTAAATTAGGCTACTTCAGAAAGAGCTGATGATACAGAAGTGAAAATTCTCAAATGATCACTTTATTTCTCTAGACAAGATTGAGCTAGTGTTATACGACATTTTCAGATGTTTCTAACTTATATTATCAGTAAGTGCACACAGTCCTCTTAAAGCAGTTTTTGCCTAACCCTGCTGTTTGCAGCAGTGCTCTTTTTTTATCCAAGAGATGAGCTAAAAAGGAATCTAGATGTTTTAAACACACAGAAAGACAGAACTCAACTATCCTAATACTTATATCTTCCTGACATAAGACAGACATCCCTACAGCAATTTCAATAAAATGCTGTGATCTTAAAATATAGCACAACCATGCATGTTAATAGGACTTAGTATAGTAAATCTATGCACCAGAGAAGCTCTGAAATCATACTGCAAGGTCTGGCTTAGCAGAATTGATGAATACCCTATGGAGATAAGCTTGGGTCAGACCTCAGCTGATCCTTAGAGCTCTTTCATCCTAGGCCAAATGAAAATTCACAGAAGCAATCATTAAATGCATCTCTATTTTTTTTCCAGGAAGTACCTGCAAAATAAAATATACCTTAGTGTTTCCATAACTGGAAGCATGAATAAGCAAGGCAGGATTGCAGACAGAAGGGTGAGCTGTATGCCTGGTGGGGAGCAGGCTTCATATGCCTTTCAGATGTTAGAGTCATGAAGCAGTGGTAAAAAAGTTAAAAAAAAAGAAAGGGAAGCAGTCAATAGGTCAAGGAGTACAAAACCCCTACTAAGCCCTATCATGCTGCAAATTGCTATCTTCTTCTCTTTCCCCATATGCTGTTACTGCATTATCAGACACTAGGAGGTGTCTAGCATGGCCTTGTTCTGCAGCTTGGCCTGGTATTTTGAGAATACACTTTTGAGAATGGTGTACCAATGGATGATTAGCTGATCTAGCTACTCAGAACAGAGCTGGCTGCTGTTTTATTCACATTTGAAGCACTGGCCATCTCTCAGTGGCCATCTCTTTTGACACTCTGGTTACTTTCCATCCCATTGAGAAGCTCAGAGAGCTAAGTCAAATTTGTCAATTACTTAGGATTCTCTAAAACTGATATAAAGTAATTAGAAACACTTGCAACTCTGCTAATTGTCTCTGTCATTGAAGTCACTATGTGAGACAAGACAGTCACATTGAGGAAGGCACAAAGACATAAATAACCAGCACTGTAGAAAAGTGTTGAACAGAACGACTACTCACCAAATCACAGATGTTTTACTATGTATTAGTTTATATTTTATGTGTCCTGGTGATTGTTACAGCAATATATATATAAACCACATTAAAGTCTGTTTAGGGAGCTTAACATGTTGAATGTTTTTATTTTAACATGTAGAGTGTTTTTATTTTACTGGAGAATGGGCAATACCACTACTACTGTTCCCTGCAAAGGAAATGAATACATCAAACCTTACTTTGTGGGTGTTGTGATGAATTTCACTACATCTGTGAGGGAAAAAAGAGAAGGAAAATTATTGGTCCAATGTAAAATTTGATTATACAGAAATTAAATCACTTAATAGATATGTACAGGAAGATGTTTTTCAACTCACACTGTAAGAAAAAAAAAAGCAGAAAAAATATTAGCAACTAAAAGGAATCACAGTTCTGTGATCATTGATTTTTTTTATTTTGTCAACAGCATTGTCCTGTGATCACCAAACTACTGTCAGCCTCCTCCTATTCCGTCTGATCATGAAGATAAATCACTTGCATATATCTTTATACTCTCTTGTAGCTGACACTAGGCAGCATTAGTTACAAATACATTGCCAACTTGAAAAGAATGAAGAAATAGAGAAAAATAATTTTAAATTCCCACATAGGTATTTCAAAAGCTTAATGATTTGACCAGTCTGAATAATTCATTGACTAGACAACTGTGGCAAAAATCTACAAAGCACCACATCTTCAGGGGCAAAACCTGATAACAATGTTAAATAGTGACCAGATCACTGGATTTTGTTTGTGTTTTGTTAGGTGTTTCAGCCCAAATTCAGAATAACATCTTAAGCCTGTGATTAAGGTTCCATTTAATTCAAACCATTCACAGCATTTGCCTAAAGCTGAGTAAGACTTTCCAATTTTTTTAAATATAGCCAGATCATTGAAAAAACCCCAAACAACGAAACAACAGAAGTACAGTGCTGTTAGAGGTTTTGGCAATTTGTTTCAATACCAGGCCAAGTTGCTGAATAAGACAATACTATCTGCATTTCTAAAATGAAATCTCCTAAACTGTTTCCATTATCTAGATTGAAGTACAACCAAGCAAAGAGAAAATGTAAGTAGAGAAATAACTTTTTAACTTCCCCATGAAAATATTATTTTTTAATCACAATTTGAGTTAACAATATTCCATCAAGTCAATTATAATGGCATGACAGAACAGACCAGTGGCTTTGGTGATTTAGTGAATGACCTGCTGAAAAGTCAAGTATGACAAATGATGGGGCAATCTATCACTTTGAAGAAAGTGATCTTCAGCCTCCTTCAGAAAGACCAACTCTGTCAGTCCTACTAATGCTTTCTTCTTGGAACCTACATGAGAAGCAAAGACATATTTGCTAACTTACTTTGGGTTAGTGGCTTGGATATGTAGGCAAGAGTAGATAAAGAGGTCAACTCAAATAATTCCAATTTTTAGAGTAGAAATCAAATTTGAGTATTAAAAATAGAAAGTCTGGTGTTGGCATTAAAATTGTTGCAGGCAGGTATAGGTATTATAAAGGACAGGTCTTAAAAAATATGGTTTAGGCCCTGCTACTTTAGTTATGCTAGCAGTAGCTTGCAGGTTCCCATGCAAAACAACCTTGGGAATGAGAATTTGTTTGCATAACAACCTATTCTTGGGGAGAAGAATAAGTCTGCAACTCTGTAAACAATAGATGTGTCCCATTAGAATCTGTGAAGAAAATATGTAAACATATCTAGAGAGAAAATTTGATAGACATATACAATAGCCCTTCTGGACCAATGAAATGAACTTCACTGTATTGCTGACCAATTAAGTTCAATACGGTGCCTTTTGATAATCCTATAAAACATGACCTATGCAATAAAGATTTGGCTTTTCCTGCATGAGGAAACTGAGGCCTGGCTGGTTTATTACAACAGAAATGTTATTGTGTAATATTCCACTTCAGTGTTGTGCAAATCAGATATTGATATAGACAGTGATTTACATATATGAAGCATATATCCACACACTCATATGCAAGTTTACATATTTGTGTGTATATACCAACATATATATACACAAGCTATAATCTGTTTAAGAGAAAGAAACAGAAAAGTCTACAGTGCTTTTTCTTACTGTTATGGCTAGCAAAGGCATTAGCCAGATGTTGAAACTCATAGGCATCAAACAGCAGTGATCATTATAGTCTTCAATCACCCCATTTAGAATTTACAATAAGCTAAGCAGAAAACCATTATTTCCACCTTCAGTATAAAGTTTTCCTCTGGCTGAAAACAGAGTTCTGCAATGGACTGATGCACCATCTGTTCTAACTTCAGAACCCTTTTCCATGAAACTTCCAGCAAGGAGAACAAGCTATTGATGAGACCCCAGAATATAAGGACATCATTAGTGAGTGTCATAATAAGATTAAAATCCCTTGAGGACTCTCATCAAAACCCAGATTAAAAAGAAACCAAAAAAAAAAGAGACAATACTGACATTATAGTAACAAACCATAATATAAGGCATAAAATTAACAAACATTATGAATTAATCATACTTAGACAATTACAATCCATATGGCTAGTTAAACTCAATCTGCTACCTGTAGTGGCATAGTCTGGATACTGTATATTCAATGCCAGTGCATTTCTCCTAGGATGTAATTACTTAATTTTGTGAATGAGAAAATGATGTGTAAAAGCCAATGTTTCCATGGATTCAATGCCCCAAGTCAGATAAAATGTATGAATGCTTATTATATCTCATGACAGTTTTTAACCCTATTTCATCTCTCATATTACCTTTAGGTATGTAAGAACAGTGAATCACCTTCACACTCACTACTAACATTAATGCAAGAAACAAACAGTGTTCCAAGTCTAATTTTCTGCAAACAGGATTCCTAGGACTTAGATGATAAAAAAAGGCAAAAGGTTGATTCAAGCTGTAGTTCTTGAGGTTTTTTATCACTTGAAGCACACACATTTGGATTCTGAGAGCAACCACTTTCTCCTTACTCTTCCACTTATATTCACGCAGGATATTTCAATCTCCCAGAGGACTTGGCATCGAGATTCTGGTTCACTTTCCTCTTTTGCCATATACAGCATGTCACATCTGGTGATACACAATTCAAACAATGGGAAGCTGCAACTCCTCAAAAAAAAAACCTAAACCAAACCAACAAAACACCGGACCAAGACAACTCTAATATTTTAGTCCTTTGTAGACTCTGTAAGGAATTTCAAACTAATGCTTTGTCCTTCCTCATACCAAGCTCTGAACCCCAACCTGTTCTACAGTATCTGGAAGAGTCTCCTAAAACAGTTTGTATCAAGCATAAGCAAATCAGTTGGGCAATATAACAATATACTTCATCACTGCTTGTTCTCTGAACAGACTTGAATTTAAAAAATAGGAACATTTTAATTAATGCCAGACACGCATTTAAAAAAGGGAGCTGTTACATGGAAAAAGAACAATTGATAACCTCAGGACTATCTCAAGATTTATGCCATTCAGTTTTTCAGATCAGGCTGCTAGAAGGAGGAAAGACAGTATTCTTGTATCATAGAATTACATGCCTATCAGAGGACTAATTTTGGAGGGAGGAGAAGGCATCATCTTTCATTTAGCTCATTAAATGGTTACTAAAAATAGGTGGGACTAGTGAACAATAACAAAAATGAAACATTTTGTGAAGTTGTGAGGATTTACATGCTCAAGGATCCAGAAATTATCATTTGCACTTTCCTATTTAAGTATCTACAAATTAATATCAAAACCCAACACAATCAGGTCTATAAGCTCCAGGTTTACTTCAGTCCTTTTGTTTCAAGAACAATCACCAAAAAGACATTTAATTACTTTGAGCCACTGGCCACAGAAATCCAAATTACTTTGCATCTTTAAGTGAAAGTGCAAAATTATATAACTGTTTGAAATAAACAGATGTTTGTTAACCCCAGACTTTTATTACTTTATATCTCAACTCTGATGCAATCAGATACAAAGTAAGTTACTATAGAGTATTTCTGGTTCAGGATTCTTCTTTGTTTCCAGTGGACAGGTACAAAGAACTGAAACATTTTCAATTTCCCAATCTTTGACTGGCAGGACAAATTTAGAAAATATGTATATTTTTGGGGTCCATAATCTCATTTATATTCATTATTTTTGACATTGTGCAATTGCAGACAGTAGTTTGGCTTCCTCCATAGTCATTATGAGGTGCTCCAAATCTATTTAAAAGTTAAAGTGTGGTTTCATAAGGAAACTAATTTCAGAGGCAGCAGAGAAGGCTTTAGAGCACAAATAGAGCTTTCTCACCATCCCAGAGCAGAGTCTGGGTCCTGGCAACTATGACCAGTAAATGCTTTTCTTGTTCAATAATATATACTTTGTTAAAGAAACCAAAGGGCACTCTAGTCAGTCTTGTGGAATCATTAGCGCACATTTTGAATGGTTACAATCATTCAGCTTTCAGCCACATGCTTTATAATACCTTGCTAGGAGCACTATACTCACCATGAAATCCTGTACTTGTCATGACTTATTGCATAATTAAAATAATGTAATCAAAAACCTCACAGAAAAAATGTTGACTGAAAAATATTCACATATTACTTTCAGCAGAATAAGTTGACTAATGTGTTAATAAAATGAAACAAACCCAACTATCTTGTCAAATGCTATTTTTATCTCAGCATTTACATACATTTGTCATGAAGGGGGTACATTCTGAGTAAAAGGAATAAACACTGTTATGATTAAACATGTCTGACATGATGTTCTCATCTGAGCATCAGGCAATGCCACATGCATAGGAAACTTGCACTCATGCAGTCATAAAGCAAATGGCTTCATATCAAAATCAAACTTACAGAGAGCAGGACAGCTTTATTTAGCAAGGAGATGCATCTGATTAGATTTGTTCTGAATTTGGCCCTGAGCACTCAGATTAAAAATGTTGACACAAAGTTTGAAACAAGTATAGCCTGATAGGATTGAACACTGCATTTCACTGAGACCAGAACTTTTGTAAGGAAGGAAGAAACTCAGAAGAATCTTCTCACTGTCCACAGCTACTTCAGGACATTATCAGTGTCAGGAAATAAGGGAGACCCAGCCCCCTCACATTTGAGAGAAATGCTTGACTCCCTGTACCAGGAAGGACTTAAATTATTGCACTTACATAAACAGAGAGTTAAGAAAAAAAGGAAGAACAGAAAGACTAGTAAGGATAGGGACTGGAGAAATGGTGCCATTTCTCCCTTCGGAAAAGGCCAGGTAGATCTATATAATTATGCACCCAAGATCTTTCAGAAAGGACAGGTCTTTTAGCAGCCTTCTTTCCTCTACTCTCTGAAGGTACTGGAAAGAGATAATCAAGACCTGAGCTTGTACAGGAGTGTACACTAATGACTTGCCTGCTTTCTCTCTTAGTGCTGCTGACATTCAAGTACAATGCCAAGAGTATTTCTCACATTCTTGCTCCTGAATATGCTGGGAATCCTCTATAGTTCCTTTCTAATGAATACTGCCCTGCCCCCCAAATTCTTTAGTATGCTTGCCTAGCAGCAGCATTACCAAAAAGTTTAATTTTTTCCCTTCAGCACACATGTAGATACAATAAAATGTGCAGAGATAGATTAACTTTCTCAGGAGTCTCCTTGAATTTGCGTCTCTTCTCATGTCAACACTATTTAACACAAAAGTCTGAAATCATGATTGTATAAACTCTGCAGGGAGAAAAGAAAAAATGAACATGTGAGACAGAGTTGTACTGGCACCATCCTCTTGCTGTGTTGTTGATGATGAGAATTTGTGCCTAATCCATAGATCAGTTAACACATCAGTGACTTAATGTCAGTGGCAAATTAATAACATATCAATAAGTAATAGGAATGTTTTATAGCAGTCTTTGGACTTGGACATTTTCAGACTTAAAAATGCACAGAAAACAAATTGTTAATACTAGCAATAAACAAGATAAGATTAAGAAAATCCTATTAGTAGTGCACAGATCAATAAATATATTCTTGCCTGAGATTAAAAAAACATAAATGTTTCAGAATTTGATAAGCACAAAAGACTGATTTTATACAAAGCAATTTTCAGGAAAGAAGGCCTGTATACTTTCATAGAATGATGATTCAATAAAATGTGCAAGGTATTGAAACCTGAATTTAGCATATACACACAGGAAAATTTGTGGAAAATCTCTCTTGGGACAGTAAAAAAACCCCTCTAATAAACCAGCAATGCTTTACTATTTTATACCATTTTTCACTTATGTATTTCAGGTACTTTCAGGGGAAGAAAATATCCAGGATTTTTTAAGTTAAAAAATTTGTCTCTGCCACACAGTCTTATATAGCTTAAATTCTTAATTATCTTAGCTTCCTTTACAATCTTCTGTAGTCTGTTTTGCAATGGAATATGCCATTTTAATTATCCCAGATCTATCTACCAAACTGTCTTCATGTCAGTTTCTTGACCTTCAGCTCTAGCCTTTACCTGTTTGTTATTGGGAGTACCTTAAGGCCCAGTGCTATAATCCACAGAAAAAAAAAGTGGCGGGGAGGGAGAGAAGAAGAGAGGTTTTTGTAGCCACCAAAAAAGAGTTTTGATATTTTCTGGAAGACTTTTTTTTTTTCTTTTCCTTTTTTTTTTTTTTTTTTCTGATTTACTACTATGAAAACCTGTCATTTCCAATTCAGCAGTCTCCCTCAGAAAACTCAAAAAAGGGTTACTGTGCCATAGGATAACACAAAAAAAAGCTTGAAAAATCCCTTTATTGCTAATTTAACTTTATTCTTTGGCCAAACCCCATCCTGCAGTGTCTTAACTCAAAGTACCACAACAGAAAGCAAATCTACAGAGATGCAACTGAGTTCATAAAAGCATTCCTATACTCCGGTTTGCCATAAACCTTTATAGATACTTCAAACTAGCAGTAGTAAAAGAGAAAAAGAGCCAGCTGCAGTGGTGAGGGCCCAGAACAACAAGACAGACTTTTCTGTGGAGTGTTTTTAACATAGTTCATTTGATTCACAAAGATTTCAGGAAGCACTATAGGCACTTTTGTTGGTACATATGTTAGAAGGATAACCCTGTCAGCAGAAAAACTCCAATGGCACATCTCATCTTTTGTGATCAATGATAGACAAAGGGACACTTTTTCATTCACTGAGGTGGAAAGTGAGAAGTCTACCTTTCTAAAGAGGGCTCTGCTGTGTCTTTCAAGGGACTTATTTACTTTGGAAACAGGCTGTTCTAGAGAGATTGGAAAGTAGCCTGCCTTTATGAGGCTAACCCCCTGAGATCCACACAGGCACAGAATCGTAGAAACATTTTGGCTGGAAAAGACCCTTAATGGCTATTACCCGTAATGGTATATAATATAGTATGTTGAAATATGCTGGACAAGTGGACCTGATCACAGGAGAACACACAATAGGAGAGACTAAAGGGCACAGGAGCAATCTCTTGCACAAACAAAAATAATTCAGGTATCAAAAATAGTGGTAAAATTAATCACTAACCTGCCTTAGAAAGAACACTTTGCTTTAAAAAGTCATCAAAATTAAAATCAGAACAAATTAGGTGAAGTGCATCACTAGCAAAAAGAGAAATATAGTGTTATATGCAATTCTGCCCTTGCCTGTGGATTTCTCTTTACATAATTAATTTGGGAATGTATACTCTTAATTTTTATATCCACTGTTGCTGATGAGATGTTTAATGTTGTCTTACTGTAAAAAGGGAGTTGCATTTCTTCTGAATTTAAGACAATGCAATAATTGCTTTCCCTGTTTTACTGGTCTTGATGTAAGTCACAACAACATTAGAACTGTTTAGATAGCTGATGATTTACCTTATTTTACTGCTTTAATTTCAAAAATTCTTGAACAAAATTAAGCAACCCTCTCGATGGACTATTATGTGTTTTTCTTAGCAGAAGGGATTAACTGTGGTAATTTGTGAATTATGAAGTCTCACATCCATTAAATCCAAATGCAGAGCAAACTTAAACAGAGAACATGTAGTCATATATAGAAATAAGAGTGAATATTTATATGGTAAATAAATCTTATAGTACTAGAAGTATGCAC